CCTCTGTTGGCATTACCGGTTACACCCCCACTCCCACCCATTCCACTCAGGATGGCGTACATGGCTCTCCCCAACCCCCCCAATTATGTCCCCACAACAACCCTGCAAGATAGATGAGACTGTGTGTGAGAGAGAGAGAGAGAGAGACAGACACTACCTCAGTGATTCCAAGCACGGCTCATGGCTGAGCAGAGATCTGAACCTGGGCTGCCCCGATCTTTGCCCCATGCTGTTATTTAAACATCAGAAGAGCCCTGCTGGATCAGACCAGTGGTCCATCTAGTCCAGCATCCTGTCTCACGCAGTGGCCTCAACCAGTTCCTCTGGAGGGCCAACAACAGAGTAGAGAGGCCGAGGCCTTCCCCTGAGAAGAACATCAGAAGAGCCCTGCTGGATCAGACCAGTGGCGGTCCCTCTAGTCCAGCATCCCGACTCACCAAGTGGCCAACCAGCTCCTCTGGAGGAACAACAACATGGCAGAGAGGCCGAGGCCTTCCCCTGATAAGAACCTCAGAAGAACCCTGCTGGATCAGACCAATAATCCATCTAGTCCAGCATCCTGTCTCACACAGTGGCCAACCAGTTCCTCTGGAAGGCCAACAATAGGGCAGAGAGGCCGAGGCCTTCATTAGAACATCAGGGGAGCCCTGCCGGATCAGACCAGTGGTCCATCTAGTCCAGCCTCCCGTCTCACACAGGGGCCAATCAGTTCCTCTGGAGGGCCAAGAACAGGGCATAGAGGCCAACGCCTTCCCTGATAAGAACATCAGAAGAGCCCTGCTCGATCAGACCAATAATCCATCTAATCCAGCATCCTGTCTCACACAGTGGCCTCAAGCAGTTCCTCTGGAAGGCCAACAATAGGGCAGAGGTTTGTTCCCGGCCCACCTGGGAAGACGTCACGTAGCCCTTCGTTTTGTGGGAAAGGCGAGCGCTGGGACCCAGGGTGGATGTGTCTGGATCCACATGGTGGAGGCATAGACGGGCACTTCTTACGAACTGTCGATGTGACTTTTCCTAAAGGCTTTTTGTGTTGGGGGAAATGGGTGGGGAACAGAAACGAACACTTACTGCATTCATAGATCTGCTCCAGTTTATCCACAGAAGAGAGAGAGAAGAATTTGTAACCCGATTTGCTGCCGACAGCCAGGGACCTGCAAAGGGATACAAAAGGTTAACTCGAGCATGGGAATCGCACAAGCTCCCCCCCTTTCACACAGAATGTGTGAGAGCAGATTGAAACTCACCGTTTCTCCAGGGGTCATCGTACTGTTCTGCAACACCAGCACTCAGACAAGTGGCTGCTTGTGCAAAAACGACGGAAGCAACTCTCTCAAGAGTTTTTTAGTCCCTTTCCCTAACCACAGAAGGGACCCAGACCAGATTGTCGCAAACAGGAATGCGAAACCCAGATGGAAGGATTCAGGGGAAGGAGATCGGATGAAAAAGGCTGGTGGGGAGCAACTGCGATTGGACACCTCGCCCCGGAGGAGACAGGAGTATCCCCGAATGAACTGTATCTTATCCTTCTAGGTTTGTAATCTAGGTGCGGCATTGTTTACTGAGTTCAACGGTTCCCTGCTTGTTCCATCTTCTAGTTCTGTAACCCACACACACGGAGCTGCGGTGGCTCGAGTGGTTAAGAAGCTGAACTGCAGGCTGTGGAAGGTCGGTCGTTCAGCAGTTCGAGACCCGAGTGTCCCGCATGACGGAGTGAGCTCCCGTCTCTAGTTCCAGCTCCTGCCAACCTAGCAGTTCGAAAGCAAGACATTGCAAGTAGATAAATAGGTACCACTTCGGTGGGAAGGTCACAGCATTCCGTGCGCCTTGGTGTTTAGTCATGCCGGCCACATGACCATGGAAACGTCTCCGGACAGCGCTGGCTCTTTGGCTTTGAAACGGAGATGAGCACCCCAACCCTAGAGTCGGATTTGACTGGCTTTCGAGCAAGGGAACCTTTACCTTTTACCTTTAACCCACACCCTATTCCATTGTATGGATGTCGTACGCTGTCTGATTGCAGTCTCAGAATCATAGAATCACAGTTAGAAAGGGCCATCCAGTCCAACCCCCTGCTCAGTGCGGGATCAGCCTAGAGCAAGGGTGTCAAACATGCGCCCCAGGGGCCGGATCAGGCCCCCGGAGGGCTTCCATCAGGCCCGCCAGTGGAACTGGCCATCTCCTGCTTCCAGTTCTGCTGCTGCTGCATCATAACTTGCTTTGTCAGACTCTCTTAATCACTCGGCCATTTCATGTTTTAACCTGGGTCCTCAGACTCTGAGCCTGAGATTTCTGTGGTGGATGTCGATAAATCAAAAGTAGGTTTGCAGCTTACAGAGCTAACGTTTTAAGCATGTTTTAATTTTAAGAAAAAAATAATAATCTTTGTGTTTGTGTCCTTTACAAAGTTTATATCTCTGCTACCGGGCATTACGTTTTACGACGCACATGGTCCGGCCCAACAAGGTCTCATTTATGTCAGATCCGGCCCTCGTAGCAAATGAGTTCGACACCCCTGGCTTGGAGCATCCCTGACAAGTGTTTGTCCACATGCTGCTTAAAGATTGCCAGGGAGGGGGAGCTCACCACCTCCCGAGGCAGCCCATTCCACTGTTGCACAACTCTGACTTTAAGAGAAAAGGTGGGCTATAAATAACGTAAGTAAACTGGGCTACCTGCATCTGGACCCTCCATAAAGTTTTGTTTGCACCTTTGGAGAAGATAACGCTTTGCTCGCACCCTGCATGCCTAGCTTCATGGAAGCTATTTCTACTTGAGTGGCTGGGAGAACCTGGGTGAGCGTCTCTGCGAGGGAATTGAGAACAGACCCTCAAGACAGTCCGACGCTGGTCAGCCAAAACTGTTCGCATGCTAGCGAGGGAGGAAAGTTAGAGAAGGATGCATTTCCCCCCTGTAAAAGAACAGACAGCTTTGTAGGAAAGCTGGAATGCTTAACCAAGACAGGCTAAAAGGAGACAGTGTTAAACTAGCTGCTGTTTTCAGACTTACAGGACCGCCTGCCATTCAGAAATGAGTATCGACTCTACCAGATGCCACATCAAGCGACTGGACCAGGCCGCAATCCCTGGTGTCAGTGACCCGGCAAACACGCCTGACTCTCAGCGAGTGGAACAGATTAATAATAATCCTGTCGCCTGGCAGCCAGGGATCATCAGGCAGAGGAAGTGCGGGATCATTTTTTATTACCTGCTCAGCAAACCATCCGTTATGAGCCCACATCGATGGTACGTTTTATATATCGGAGGACCCAAATATATATATTTACGTGCATTTTTGACAAAGTCGGATGGGGGGATTAAAAGGGATGCAAGGCGGAAATGCAGAGATGCTGTGTACGTTTTGAAATAAAGCTCCCCCACCCCGAGATGTGAAGGCCTGGGAAAAAAAACAGAAAAATTCGGGGGGGAAATGTGCCTCTGTGCCATGCCCCTGGTGTTCCTTGGGGGTCCCTGGAGAGCCAGAGTGGTGTCGTGGTTAGGAACGCAGACTCTAATCTGGGAGAACCGGGTTTGATTCCCCACTCCTCCACGTGCAGCTTGTTGGTGTGACCTTGGGTCAGTCACAAGTTCTTTCAGAGGTGTTCTCTCAAGGGCAGTTCTCAAGAGAGCCCCACCTGCCTCACAGGCAGTGTTCCCTCTAAGCTGAGTGAGTGTGAGCTAGCTCACAGTTGTTTAGCCTCCAGCTCACACATTTTTGTCTTAGCTCCAGAGCAAACTAATTTATGCAGCAGCCCAATCGCTCGCTCACCACTTTCATGCCAGGAGCTCACAAGTAGAATTTCTGCTCACAAGACTCCACAGCTTAGAGGGACCATTGCTCACAGGGTGTCTGTTGTGGGGAGAGGAAGGCGATTGTAAGCCGCTCTGAGACTCCTTCGGGTAGTGAAGGGCCATGGGGTATAAATCCCTCCTCCTCCTCCTCCTCTTCCCATCCAAATACTACGCAGGGCCGACCTTGCTTAGCGTCTGAGATCTGACAAGATCGGGCTAACCCGGGCTACTCAGTTCAGGCCCCAAGGCTGTTTACAGTATAAATAATAATAAAATACATTCAAAACACTATTTAAGACCAATAATTTAAAACTCCTATAGGCAGAAGATCTAATCTTCTATAAGAGTGGTTGAGTGCGCGGACTCTAATCTGGGAGAACCAGGTTTGATTCCCCACGCCTCCACATGCAGCCAGCTGGGTGACCTTGGGTCAGTCACCAGTTCTTTCGGTGCTGTTCTCTCAAGGGCAGTCCTCGAGAGAGCTCTCTCAGCCCCACCGACCTCCCAGGGTGTCCCTTGTGGGGAGGGGAAGGGAAAGGAGATTGTAAGCCCCTCTGAGACTCCTTCGGGTAGTGAAGGGCGGGGTATAAATCCAATCTCTTCTTCACCAGTTTGGTGTAGGGGTTAAGTGCGCAGACTCTAAACTGGGGGAACCGGGTTTGATTCCCCACTCCTCCACTTGCACCTGGGCTGGATGACCTTGGGCAAGCCCTAGTTCTGATAAGAGCTGTCCTTGAAAAAGAGCAGTTTCTGTCAGAGCTCTCTCAGTCCCACCAACCTCACAGGGTGTCTGTTGTGGGGAGGGGAAGGGAGAGGAGTTTGTCAGCTGCTCTGAGACTCCTTCGGGTAGTGAAGGGCCATGGGGTATACATCCAATCTCTTCTTCTTCTTCATTCTCCACTTGCACCTGGCTGGATAACCTTGGGCAAGCCGTAGTTCTGACAAGAGCTGTCCTTGAAAAAGAGCAGTTTCTGTCAGAGCTCTCTCAACCCCACCCACCTCCCAGGGTGTCTGTTGTGGTGAGGGGAAGGGAAAGGAGTTTGTGAGCTGCTCTGAGACACCTTCGGGTAGTGAAGGGCGGGGTATAAATCCAATCTCTTCTTCTTCTTCTAATCAAATGCCCTCATGAATAAAACTGTCTACGGCCGCCTCCCGAAGATCAAGAGCGAGGGGTCTAGGGTGCCCATCCCTGGGGAGGCTACTCCATAACCACGGGGCTGCCACTGAAAAGGCCCTTTCCTGGGTACCCACCAGATGAGCTTCTTTGGCCGGCAGGGCAGTCAAGCGGAGCTCTCCCTGTGATCTTCGTTCCTAGGCAGGGACACAGGGGAGCAGATGGTCCTCCTCGTCGCTGCATCAAGACAGGCCCCCTGGGCTCTGCTGCTGTTTGTGGACTAGGAAGGAGGGCCCCGATCCGATCTTCTGTTTTGTGCATCTTACAGGGGGCCCCCCCACACACACACACATTAGAATCCTTGAGTCAGCCACGCCACGAAACCTGCGTCGATATCGTGACGCGAAATCCCTCAAGATATTTCGTGCGGCAACCCAGCTCATCAAGCTGGGCCTGATTCACGCAACGTGAACACTGCCGCCACTAGAGATGTGAAGGCCAGGAAAAAAAACGGAAAAATTCGGGGGAAAAACAGTTTTTTTCCTGAAGCCTTTTTTGTTATTTTCCAAAAAATTGGAAAAATTGAAAAAATAAAATAAAATAAATTGACTATGGAACGTTTTATTTTAACATGATGAATAAAATCTTTTAAGACAAGGTGTTCAAATATTTTCCAAATCATTTCTAAAATATATATATATGACATCAGATTGATCTAATTTCTGTGCACTGAGGACAAGCAAGTCCTAGGTTACAAACTGAACTCTCCAATGCAAGAACAAGATGCATTTCTTTCTTTAGGAGGTGCTATTGTCAGAAGAAAATAAAAAGGTTTCAGGTTTGTTTTTGCATGTGGATGGGTATTCTGTTTGTAATAATTGTTTGGATACACTATATTTTTAATATGCTAGTTGTGATAATTTCATGCCAAGTAAAAATGTCCATAGTCATATTTTATGTTCCTAAAGTAACAGAATGACTTTCAATCTAGAAAAGACAAAAGAAATGCTAATGTAGCATTTTTTTTCAATTTTTCCGAAAATTTCCGTTTTCCCCCGAAAAAAACCAGGAAAAAAACCGGGGTTTTTTCCGAGCTTCAAAATTTCCAAAAATTTCACATCTCTAGCCGCCACCGACCCCAACCTCAAGTCAGATACATACAGAACTGGCTTTTTCAAAGATGTACGCCGCACTCGACAGGGCTCGAGAGACAAGAGCCCCTTCCTTGCTTCCCCGGCGCCTGGCCTCG